TAATAACACATGAAGATAAAACTGGAAAAATGAACTGGTCAATACAGAACTAAAGACAAGCCGATAGTACACTCTGATAGGCAAACAAGAGAGAAAGAAAGAGCGAAAAAGGATTATAGGGAGAGACAAAGTGAGTGGGTGTGTAAGTGGGTGGGTGAGAGAGAGAGGAGAGAGAGAGAGAGAGAGAGAGAGAGAGAGAGAGAGAGAGAGAGAGAAAACGAGCTAGAACGTAAAAAGATGCAATTATTTTTGTATGTTGTAACTTATTTGTTTTTGTTTCAGTTTCAGGAGGATACGCACTCGGACGCTTAGAGAAAAACGAGTCCTCTAATTTTCATTTGATTTTAGTAAACAAAATGTTTGATATTAGAAAAGGAATTTTTTAAAGAATTGTAGGGACAGAGAGAGTGGGTGAGAGAGAGAGAGAGAGGTAAAAAAGAGCGAGAGGGAAAGCGAAAGAGTGAGCGAGAGAAAGTAGAGAGCAAGAGAAAGCGAGAGGAAGAGAAAGAGAGAGTAAGAAAGAGAAAGTGAGAGAAAAGCAGAAGAGAGAGTGAGAGAGAGAGAAGGTTTGAGTGTGAGAGAGAAAGAGAGAGAGACAGAGGGACACTAAGAAGTAGTAAGAGAGAGAGGGAGAGAGAGAGAGAGAGAGAGAGAGAGAGAGAGAGAGAATATATATTATAGAATAATTCTAATGTTCTTATTAAAAACTGGAAGATGTACCAAAATAATAATATTACAACCAAACCCCTTTTATTTATTTTATTTTTATTGATTGCCAAAATATGCTTCCAAACTTTAAATTTTTAAAATAGTGATACGCAATTATTATCATGTGAAATTGAAAAACGCAAGTTTTTTTTCGCTTATAACATTTTAACCTAGATTAATTTTATAGTACACTTGTGGCGAGGCTGTGTTGTTAAAGTTTTTCATAATACTTTTTGTTAATAATGTCGTTCAATAATGTAAATTTCCGTCATACAGTGTGGCCAGATTTCACTTAAATTAAGCCGCCCTTCATTATACCTGCCGGGACAATTCGGTAAAAGCATTAATTACATTAACATAAATTTAGTTGTAAGTTTTTCACGGGAAGCATTATGTAACAAGTATAACGCAGGCTGAAATGATAATCTTCTTAATTACCATTGTGTTTTTAAAAACATCACGCTCGTGCAAAACCGTCAGGAAAATAGTCCCAGAGTAAAACTTACAAGCTTCGACACGTTTTTCTTTTAAAAAATTAGTAAAAGTAAGTGATCAATTCGTAAATAAATGCATAAATGTTTATAAAATTATCTAAATTATAAGTATGTTAAAGAAATCGGAAAATCTTTGAAAATTCTGAATGATTTTTAGTTGTTGTTTAGTGTAACTGATAAATTATCACTTTTTTACGTTCAAATCTAAAACGATTTGTTCTTAGAGAAAATAAATGTTTCCTTTTAATAAACATTCTTTGTTTTGCTGAAAAATAACCTTGCTTTAAACCATTATTCATTTTTCATTTATTAAACATCAATTCTTTAGGCTGGAAGAAGACCCATGAAAATAAAAAAATCATTTATTTCCTTCAAAATTCTCGCCTTCCAAATTCCTCGGATTTTTTTCGAAAATCGCTAAAACTGTGAAAACTTTGAAAATACACCACCGATCACCCGAGATTTTACAGTTTATCGAACTAAAACTTAAAAGTTCACTTCATGATACAAATGACATATCCGAAGATAAATTAGGACCGCAGATATAATATAAAACGTTTGAGGTGTTCTTATTGATTTCATTTTTATTTTTCTTACTTATAATGGCATAATGTCTAGACTTTATTGACACAGGCTAAAGACAGAACAATCCATGTTTTCATAACATCGAATTTGGATAAAATCCGATGAATGAATTTTTTAGTAGAAGACAGGAGAAAAAAGCCCAAAAAGTCTAAGTCAAAAAATTTGATTCGTTATAATAAAATCGTTTGTAATTTATTAAGATTATGCATCAAAAATATAACTTTGCACTCATTATTAGCTAAATTTGAAAAATCCTATTTTGCCCTTAAAAAGAAAAACGAGTAAATCCTAATTGTGCTAGTTTTAGAGCTTTAAGGTGTTTCTTTTTCCAACCTTGTTTTGCCCTGGGTTTTCTCGCAATTTTCTCATTGTCATCCATGCGAACCCAAGACTGGATATACTGCCTCCACCTTTCACCTTTAATCCCGGCAGCACAGCCCCGTCCATTTAGCTCGGATTGCTGCTAATATATCTCTTTCCCCTATTTATTTCGTTTTGTACCTCTAAGCCTGGACTATTTCCTGTACATTTTTCGGTTGTGTTTGTTTTAAATTTGATCGACTTTTGCCCGTGTTTATTTTTTTTTAAACAAGACTGCTTTATTGGAATGAGGCCTATTATCGTAATTGATCATTAGACCGTTTAAATCTGCAGCTTTACGTTTTGACAGCGTAAAAGAAGTCCGATGAACTTTCTTTTATTCTCATTTTTTTAACAAGTTGATAAAACCAAGTATAAAGTCCAAAAGTATCGTCCTAGTTTGAGTTTGTTTATTTTTTTCTTTGTTTTTGTGGAAGAAGGCGTTTTACAAATTGCAAATAAGTTCACCACTCTCAACGCTAACAAGTCGGTCTAAACGAGACCACTTTTAATAATGGGCCGGGGCGGCATTGTATGGCTTTTTGTGGCCTGGCTGCCTGCTGAACGAAGGGCGGGGTAATTGTGTCTTTCTTTCATCCGCTTCCTTGTCATTTGCATGTTGCCAACCTCTGCAGCCCGAGGAAATTAAAGAGTGGGGTTATACTTTGGCCGAATTTGTACACGCTCGCTCACTAGAACGAAATAAATTTAAATATAATATGAGATTTAAAAAAACTAGCTACATAAAGATCTAAAATGGGAGCATTTCCCGTCAAAATTTTGTTTAAGAGGAAATTGTGGTTCAACAGGTTCGGAATTATTAGCATACTACATTAGCACGGTCTATGATCGGCCAGCCATTGTGACATGATTAGTACGCTATTTCACTATCATTTTACCTTTATGAATTAACATTTTATAGCACAATGTAATAAAAGAAGCAGAAAAAGTAAGATTGAGAAAGGCTATTAAGAGAAAAAACATCAATGTTCCATCGATCCATATGATCCACACACACAACTCTGACCAGCTATGAAAAATACTTTTAAAAAAATAATAAAAAATATAAAAAACGAAAATTCACACTGAGGTTCACATTGATCTTTTTCTCCCAAGACAGCATGCAACAAGAAGAATGATCTACTTCTTGAACATGAAAAACTTTCACCTTCCGGATAGCCGTGATCGTATAGGTCACGGCAATTAATTTTTATTATTGGGTTGTCCGGAAAATAATGCAGGATTTTGGTATTAAACAAAAAAAAAGAAACTAGTTACTTTAAAGCAATGTTCTTTAATCAAAATAATTTCCCATACNAATGAGTAATCCTGTAAACGTAAACAGAATATTTTATATAGATTTTTTTTAATGAAAACTTAAAATCCTGCATTATTTTCCGGACAACCCAATATTTGTAAAAAAAATTTTATTAACAAATTTAATCCAAAATGACAATTGTTTTGAAAATTCGACTGAATGTACAAATTTTCTCTCTCTCTCTGTCCCTTTCTCTCTCTCGTATTCTCTCGCTCTCTCTCTCTCTCCTACTCTCTCACTCCCTTTCTCTCACTCTCTCTCGCTCTCTCTCACTAACTCCCTCTCACTTTCTCTCACTCCCTTTCTCTCTCTCTCTCTCTCTCTCTCTCTCTCTCTCTCTCGCGCGCGCGCTCTCCCTCGTACTCTCGATCTCTCTCACTAACTCCCTCTCACTCTCTCTCATTCCCTTTCTCTCACTCTCTCTAACCTCTCGCACACCTTTTCTCTCGCTCTCTCTCTCACTCCCTTTCTCTCACTCTCTCTCTCGCGCGGGCGCTATCTCTCGTACTCTCTCTCGCTCTCTCTCACACTCTCTAACTCCCTCTCACCCTCTCTAACACTTTCTCTGTCTCTCTCGCTGACTCTCTTACTCTCTCTCTCTCTCTCGCTCTCTCTGTCTCTCTCGCTCTCTCTCATTCTATCTCACTTCTCTCGCATGCTCACTCTCTCTCCCCTCATCTCTATGGTCTATTGACATATCAATCAGACTCTCTTTCTGTCTGTCTCACTCTCTGTCTTTCCCTCTCTCTTCATCTATCTTTCTAAGACTAAAAATAAACTCTTATTTATTAATTGTTAATTGCCATTGTCTTTTTCTCTCCTTCTTCCTTTCACACCTTTCCTCTCTCTCATTTTCCCTCACACCCTACCTTCTTTCTCACATTATCTGTCTGTATTTTTCAGCCACTCTTCTACATCTCTAATTATACATATTTATCCGTCTTTCACGTTATCTCTCATTGACAAAGCAATTTACCTTCTATCTATCTTTCTAACATTTCGCTCCCTTCTTCCGAACCCCTTCTACTACCCGTTCTATATCCTTCTACTGGTTTTTAAATATTATTCTCTTCGGTTTTACCAACTGTACAAAATTTCGGAAATCAGGTCTTTGATGCTCGTCCTTTCAATGCTGAGCAACCGATTCGTCGCTCAATTTTAAACTGATACTTCATGAACAATCCTTTCTAGCATGCGATTTGCTCATCATGGAAGTATTACACAAAAGAATCAGGATAAAATTCAATTTCCTCGAAAGACTCGAACGAAACAAGGCACTCTTTAATAGATAATCTAGCAATTATTAAATTGAAAAAATTGATGGTTCATAAATACGAACAAGAATTCACTAAATTTATCCTAAAACCTGTGAGAATACATTACTATCTAGATTACGTAAACATGATCAAAAATCTCGAAAGTTAGTTCAAGTGTATTTTTTAATTGCACAATACCACGTCTAACATGATACAAAGGTCGCATTAAAATTAAAATATCAGCAAGATTACCAAATAACAACTAGGTGTATGTTTCAGGAAAATGAGGCGACTGAACGTTGGAGGCAACGAACTCACGTCTATACCGAAAGCTGTCGGACATCTGGAAAATCTCAGAAAACTGGAGATGCAGGAAAATTCCATAACGCAAATCTCAGAAGCGGACTTCGAAGGTACAGTTTAAAACCAATATATTTTCTCATGGAGAAAACTAACTAAAGTATGACAAGTTTTAGTTTTTTCCATACTATATGAGATAAACCTGGGATATCTCTTTTTTTAACTATAACGCTGATAAAATGATAATTTTGACATATTTATTGACAAAGAAGTCATAAAAATTCAGGTTAGACATGGTTGCTTTACCTTTTTTATAATAATAAATAATTTTTGTAATAATAATTTTTAGTAGGTAGTTTAAAGTTTAAAGGTAAAAGACTTTTTCTTTATGTTCTCCCTGTGCCTTCTTCCCGTTACAAAACCCCATAAATATTGAAAGCACCGTCGATTCTAAGTATACAGGGTGCCCCAGTTCCTTCTCAGGGAATCGATTCTACTCTTCGTTTGGAGCAAAAAATGCTCAGGAAAAAATTTTCGGAAAGTTCTCTATTTTGAAGATATTCGTCAATTTAGGTTTTTTCAACTTTCCTCTACCTTACCACATAAAAACGCGCACAACTTCCAAAATGTTGAGACTACAATAAATCCAATTACACCATTTGAAAGAACGCTAAATTTGCTGTAAGATACTTCTATTTGCAATAATCTGAATGACATAAAATGTTAGCCAATATCAGTTGGAACATGTCAAAATTACAAAATTTAAAATTTTGGTCATGATTGCATGTTCTACTGAGGTTACAAAAAAATACGTACAACTTGTCAAATTTCACATAAACTTCTTCATCTAATATGCTTTACGTTGATTTTTCAACTCTACTAGAACTTTATTTAAAAACCTGGATATATCAACGTAAACATATTAGATGAAGAAGTTTTTGTGAAATTTGACAAGTTGTAGGTATTTTTTTGTAACCTCAGTAGAACGTGGAATCATGAACAAAATTTTAAATTTTGTTTGGCCTATCAAGCCGAAGTCGTGGGTTCGAATCCTGCTCGTGACACTGACTTTTTTATCTCAACATAAAACCTTAATTAATTGAATGTTATTAATTGGTCAAGCGGACCGCGAAAAGTAGTGAATTTAAATTTTGTAATTTTGACATGTTCCAACCGATATTGGCTAACATTTTATGTTATTATTATTATTATTATTATTAATTTTTAAGGGCGTTTTAACGGCTAAGGTCATTTCACGCCCTAACATCCAAACCTTCTATCTTAGGTTGCTATATCTCTTCTGAGTGCTATAAAGCTCTGACTCCAAACATTCACTCGAAATCTTATTTATCCTATTGCCATCCAAGCTTTAATTTTTCTTTTTAAAATTCTTAATTCGGAAGGCCAAATGCATACAAAATTCCCATTTTAAATTGCATAAAATTTAATAAATTTATAAAATTTATTTCTGTTTCTTTTTTTAATTAGAATTGTGAATTTTGTTCCATAATTTAAAAATTCCCCGTAGGCTTGTATGGCTAATAATAATAATAATAATGGAGTCAGACTAGCAACAGTCTCAGCATGAGTATTGGCTCATCCTTATCCTTTTATTCTTCCAGTCAAATATGATACATAAACTAATTCTACATAACAATAATAAGAAACAAAACACAATAACATTTCTTTATCTTTATCTTCTTTTTTTTTTTTTTGGAGGGAGCTATTTTTCTTATTTAAATTGCGATTTTGGAACATTTTATGTTATTCAGATTATTGCAAATAGAAGTATCTTATAACAAATTTAGCGTTCTTTCAAATGGTGTAATTGGATTTGTTGTAGTCTCAACATTTTGGAAGTTGTAAAAGTTTTTATGAGGGAAGGTAGTGAAAAGTTGAAAAAACCTAAATTGACGAATATCTTCTAACTAGAGAACTTTCCGAAAATTTTCTCCTGAGCTTTTTGCTCCAAACGAAGAGTAGAATCGATTCCCTGAGTTTCGTCAGAAGGAACTGGGACACCCTGTATATTATTTACATTTCCCATCGAATGACTTTTCGTACACATTTCAAACTCATTCTGTCGCTTTTGTCTTAACTGTTATTATTATATATTTTCATTATTATTTTTGCAGGATTGGTGAATCTCGATTCGCTCGGACTGGCCCACAACCACCTGAGGACGGTACCGGCCCGAGCATTCAGCCATTTGAGGCTTCTTAACTCGCTGGAACTGGACGGTAACCTCATCACGCACATAGATCCAGATGCGTTCGTTGGTCTTGAAGGTAAAAATTTCTTTATTAAATTTTTAGATAACCTAACAATGAAGATGTTGGAATATATCAAATTTGAAAATAATAATTTAAAGTCGGTTGCAAACTTGTTTTACACTAGAAAACACGATTTGAATTATTAATTAACTTTTGTCTATTAAAAATGCTAAAGTGTTTTAGGTTGCTGCTAAACAAAATGCTAATTTTGTTAATGTAAAGAAAAGGAAGTGGAAGTTTTTCATCGGAAATTGTGTTATGGACCATCCAACTTTGCACGTATCGCTTTTTACATTTCTTCCTGTGTGAGATTGACGTTTGCATGTTCCCCTCGTGGGAATGCTAAAAGCGGTTGAAACGATAAACAATTTAATTTTTATACATATTTGGCCGATCCTATATCAATTTTATCCTTTCTGAAAGTGTAGATGTTCTCCGGAAAGTTTAGTTTATAATATAAGGTTATTTAGGTTGAAAGAAAAGGTTTATTTAGTCTGTAAGGTTGTTCTCAAGCTTTTTCTAGTGTTACGTTGTAGAAAATAAAGTTATCGTTGTTTTGTTTTCATAAATTAGTTTTGTATCTTGAGTTTCGTTAGTTATAAACGCATTTTGTAAACACTGCTTCCAATTTACTTAGAATTATACGGTTAATTGGCCTGACGAAATTGTTAAGTGTAAGAGGTTGACACACCTAGCATGCTTAGTTGTTAGGGAGACACAAACCTAGGTCTTACTTTCTGGTTAACTAAAAAAAAAACTTTCAATTAATTAAGGTTTTTAGTCTAGATAAAAAAGTTTTTTAAAAAGTGTCACGAGCGGGATTCGAACCCACGATCTTCGGTTAGATAAGCCGCTGCTCTACCACTTGAGCTATTGTGACTTCGATCCACTAACTTCCCATCTCAACCCCACCTTTTGAATTTTCCCTCCTTTTTGCGATTTTTTCATCCCAACTAAAAACCTTAATTAATTGAAAGATATTAATTGGTCAAGCGGACCACGAAAACTAGTGATGAAGTATATCTTCACTAAAGCTCTCTGTGGCCATTTCATTTGTCGCCGAGAATCGAATAGATTACACGAAATTTGAAAAATGGCAAAAAGGAGGGAAAATTCAAAAGGAGGACTTGAGATGGGAAGTTAGTGTCCGAGTGGATCGAAGTCACGATAGCTCAAGTGGTAGAGCAGTAGCGTATCTAGCGGAAGGTCGTGGGTTCGAATCCCGCTCGCGACACTGACTTTTTATTCTCAACCAATACCTTTCATAAATACTAATTAAAAAATAACTTTTATTTATTTTGTTCTAATTTTTTTATACAGTTCACTGTTTCAATTTCAAATATTAACAGCGTGGCACCCATGTACAATTTATTATTAACATTTCTAATCACGCCTGTCATCACAGAGCAAAGTCGGCAAATATTTAGCGTAATATTTTGGCGCCCGTTTTTCCTGTTAGTATGATCAATGCAGCCCATGTATGACAGTAATTTAGAGACGAGAAAACTTAATTCACTTTCCATCATGAGCAATTTCATACCAGTTTTTCTTTACCTCATGTCTTCGACTAATATAAAATGGATTTTTTTGTTTTTAATGCTGCTGGTATCGTCAGGAGCAAATTGGACAATGTCTCCTTTTTTACTCAGTGCTGGTCCATGTGCTAGTTGTTGATCAGACCATTAAAAAAAAATTAAAAATAAGATCTTCATCTGGTGGTTACCATCATTTGCATCAGTAGTCCACTATGCATGACCGAAACTCTATTATTGAAACCGTGGGCTAGAATAAGCCAGTTGTATACTTCTGTGAAAACTTCTACCATTTGAGTGAATTCTTTCGCCTTCACCTCATCTTCAAATTCTTACATTTGTTCATAGTTTGGCATTCAGATTAACTCTAAACATAAAAAAATTATCCATGTATGACAATTTAAAGCTGAAAGGCGTAATTACACACTGCACAGAAAATGAACCTCTATCAACAAAATCATCATTAAATTAAATATGGATTTGTCACAGATATCCGTTAATTTTTAATATATTTGGTCATATAACTAGCCACAAACGGTAAACTTTTCATCATCTCCAACAGATTTGTTTATCAAAGATAGTTATGTCATAAATGAGTTTTTAACATCTTCGTGTATCTTATAAGCAAATCTTCTGTTTTCCTTGGTTTCTGTATATCTCAAAAGAATTTGCCATGGAATAATAGTACTTCTACGGCTCGGTCGACCAAAAGAATACAACTGCCGATATAAACTACTCGAACTATTTGACAACTGATCACTCATTGCAAAGTAAACGCCTTATCGACACATCATCACTACAACCAATCTCGTCATACGGAATAGGCCTGTGAATTTCAGCCAAGTGCTCTAATTTCCAAAGAATCCAGCAACCCGTCTAAAAACCTTCGAACCACTGCCTAAGGTAGTTTGTTTGAAAACCTTGCTATATACACCTTCAGACACAGTCGATACAGACGCTTTTAAATGCCCAGAACTCGATAGTCAAACACCATTCATCCTGAAACCTTCCCGATAACCTTCCAAAGCGCCAATGACCTCCCGATTTCCTCCCTAGTGAGGAATGTGAATAAAGTTGATATGAGTGTAATTAATGGATTACTTCTATTCTATTATAATCTTATAATATAATAATATGTAATTCATAAAGATAACACTCTAGAATTAGCTTAATAGAAGATAATACAAAGATAAAACGATTGAAGCCACTTTCTATTCCATCGTTCCAATCATCTTTTATCTTCTTTTTTTATAACACTTTCCTTTGTTTCAAGAATATGAAGGGAGGATTAAGGGATTAGATACTTGAAAGTACCTTTAGTCCTAACATCTATCGAGTCCCAGTCACGCAAAGTTGTCAATTTTCTGAGGTAGGGGATTTGCATTTTAGGGAAACTTTTAATGAAGCCACCTAGGTTAGGGCAAAAATATAAAAGACGAATTCTTTTATATCAGAAGTAAATTTTAAATTGCAGTAATTATTATGATTTATATTATGAAGAATTTTGACCAAGGTACGTTTTACGATTTAACGTCCATTTCTAATGCTTTGAACCCGATTATAATTGGACAATCCTTCCATGCCTCTAATCAACTGATCAATTTGTGATGGGGAGGACGAAATTGTATGCACCGTTAACATAACTCGATCACTGTCTTTCTGCTTCACGTTCTTTCACTCTCTTTAATACGATACAGTTATGTGTAGTGACAATTGATACTAATTTAGAAAATAAAATAATATTTTAGTCAAAAATAAAATATTTGATTGATTTTTATTATCATTGACACAGGAAAAGAGTTACAATTTTTATATGGAAAATCGTCAAATTACAAAGAAAGAAAGACAAAACGTAATTATATATACCAGTAAAAACTTCGCTGATTGGCACCGTAGATAATTATGTTTGGCATAAATTTGCATAAAATTTAGTTCAGAAGGGGGCATTAAATTAAATATTTTCCCCATTCCGAGCACCCGCGTCTGACAATGATCTCAATTTTCATCCCCCAGGACCGCGGGAAGAAGCCTAATTCCTTTATTTTAAACAAAAAAGGGTGGAGACAACTTCTAACATACTTTCCGCAAACTTTTATCTCGTTTTTTACACATTTGACCCAATTTTCCTTTTTCCGTGAGAACTCGCAATGTCGGGGGGAAGAAGAGACTCGTTCGAAACAACATCGTGAAGAAACACAAAACCGTTTCGAGAGAGTGAAAAACGGCTATAATGACATCAGCCAAAAAGAACTTAAAAACCCTTGACAACCCAAGAAAACGACGGAATATCAAATATTCAGAATAATAGAAGAAATATGATTCAATAAAAAAGCTACATGCAAAAGCGGATGTAATATCCAAAAATAACGTAGTATTTATATAAAAAATCAGACTTTAAAGCAAAGAAATTATTTGAAGTTAAACAACCCCTTAATCATCCTTTGTTGTTTTAAAAGATGGTACTTTTCAATGCTTCAACTCTAAAAGTCGACCTAAACAATTAACAACACAATTAAAAAAATTAAATCACTAATTATTTACTCAATTGTCACATTACTTTTGTCACAAATGATCCATTTATAATTTTATTATTCGTTTCAAATCGAAAAAGAAAATAAGTCATTATTAGAAGAAAGACAAAGGAAGAAAAGGGCTTTGTTTAGCAATTATTTATCCAATAACTTCTCCTCTTTCCTTCGGCGTAATATTATTTGACCTTAATTATTCAAATCCGATAATCAAAACTTGCCTGGAACGTACATGGGAGTCTCAGAGTTTTAATTCGGAAGACAAACAGAAGGAAGCGATATTTCTGTTTTCAGTATTAGAAGTATCGACCGCTTCTTCACTTACGAACACTCTGGATCAAGGTAGGGTCTTGAAGAAAAAGAAAGCAAATTTAGTTGCTAATACCAAGCTTTCGACCTATTTTAACGTCATCATTAGGGCAAAACATTCTTAAATAAGTCTACAGATTGACATATTTACGTTGTTTTTTTTTGTTTTTTTCGCCTATAAAAAACTTAAATATGTCAATCTGTAGGCATATTAAGGTCGTTTTCCTCTGATCATGACTTTAAAAAAGGTCGAAAGCTTGGCATTAGCAACTAAATTTGCTTTCTTCTTCTTCAAGACCGTGCCTTGATCCAGAGTGTTCAAAGCGATAATCCAATGTTAGCAAAAACCAGAAATTTTTATCTATACGCACCTACATACTCTCTTTCACTGGATCACTCACTCATTATTTGTCCGTTTTATCTGCCTCCCACTCCTTCTTTGTCCTATACACTATGTTATTCCTTTATAACTGCCTCCCCTACATTTATTGTGTGTGATATTTTTGAACATAGAAAATAACAAACATTGTCGACTGGAAAACGTTGGAATATAAAAAGAAATGGATGGAGTAAAAATAAATTGAATGTTATATAATAAATAAGGTCAAGGATATAAAGTCTATTTTTGTTTCATTCATTCAAGAGT